TTCTTGTTAATTAGTTATAAACATTTTTTTTTTTTTTTTTTTTTTTTTCCTTCATGTGCGGGTTAGTAACTGTGATACTAAATATACGATAATTAACAATCACAGCAAATAGCACACGTTCATGGTTAGGTTACATAAGCACACACAATATATACATATATACATGCGTGACAATATGCAAAGTATACGCATTCAAATATAATATGCAAATTGTCTCTAAACTTATTATAAGGATTAGTTTATCCTTTCAATACGGGAAATGACAATAACTTAAATATCATATATGCGCCATTTGGAGAACCACACAGTGAACGGTGATCATGACAGGAGATAGCATACTATGGCAAACTTCTTTTTTTTTTTTTTAAATAAAATAAAATCTTTAAACAGATAAAACACATATCAAAATATTATTATTATATTATGCATGGGTGTGTGAATATACAAACACACACACACAGACTCATATATGTACACGGAAAGAGACACACGTCGTAGAAGAAGTCTATATGGATTTGGATAAGATTTACATATGAGAATGTATCCACAAAATTTATATAGATTTATATTATTATAACCAAGGTGATGTTTGAAAATTAGTTATGGTCATGTGTCCTTTTCAAGCCAAATTAAAGTGAATAAAATAAGAAAAGAAGAAGAAGAAGAAGAAGAAGAAGAAGAAGACCAAGAAGAAGAAGAAGAAGAAGAAAAGGAGATATGTTGTGTCTGACTCACACATACACATGATCCTGGTTGATGGATATATATGAACAGAGTTCTGGTGGTTAAGTTAAACCTTATCTTATGCAGAAGCCACCATCAAATTAGTACGGTCACGAATACTTTTGCTTTTCATTATAAACTTTTTTCTTTTTGCAAAGACAAAAAAAGGTAATAATAATAGATAACATAAAATAAATAAATAGATACATAATGACAAAGATTCAGCACTTCATCTGTGCTCCACAGGTGGCCGACCAGCACACCTTTTATTTGCAATATAATGTTGTAAAGGTACTCAAAGGATTATTAATACATGCATGAGTAGCATGTTGTGAATATATATATATATATATAGACACACACACACACATTGATGGAGACGAATTTAGACTAGGGAAAAAGTTAAAGTTAATAGCTAGCTAGCTAGTACACCCCCCTCCATACACACTTTGGAAATTATTCAAAGTTTTTTTTTTTGTTTTTTTTCAATGTACTCATATTTCTCTCTAGCTATGTCTATCTCTAATCCTCACACATAGTGCGTTAATATCAATGGTATTATGCTTTAAAGGAAAATCAAGTATTTAACAATATGATTCATGAATAAATTTGGTTAAAAAAATTGTAGTTGACTCAAGTATCGTTAAGCTCTAGAAAAGAGTTACTAGTCATGGTCCAGAATCACAAGTTTTTTCTTCAACCAAATAATGTCATGTACTGATTATGTTCTTCTGTTTCTAGCACCACTACCATTATACAGGGCAAGGAAAGTCAAACATAGATAATATACACTATTTGCAGGTACTAAAGAGAGAAGTGCTGATCGTCGTTGGGAGCCGATTGCGTTTGGTGTCACTGTCCTCTTTAATTAAAAGCACTGAATTGCACTAAAAACACAAAGTGAAATGTCATTCACAGAAAAGAAATTAAAGAGGGCCTCCAAACTCCAATTTGATGGCACAATAATATCTCTATATTATAATGCTTCTCTTTGATCCTTCACTTTCCAAGTTCTTTTGGGGAAGGTCCAGGCGCAGATGCTGCCACCTGGTCTATAAATTTGTCGTTTGTAATATTGATCAGAATCTGTTGGTGGTGGTGGTTGTGGTAGTCCTATTTATGTACCCGTGACAGTCATGCATTTGGTTTGTTCATGATTCATGTGGTGAATACTGAATATTTACTTTTTAAAGGTGGTAAGTTGACATTCCGAAAGCCAGGATGAGTGGAATGCATTTATCATTATTTGCATGTCAAATTATATTAAAACGGAGCTTTTAAAATATATATGTATACATACATAGGGTTTATCATCACTTTCCAGTCCTTTTTCATTGACTTGTTCCGATGTGTAGAAGGTGAGAGGTATAACATAATATTTGAATTTCAAAATGTGTAGCATTAGTTTGTGATAAATAAAATTTTTATTGTTACATAAATTCAATATTATGTTATGCCTTATACTTTTACATGGTATATCTAAGATGGGAAGGACAATTTTATTGATAGAATATGATGAAATTCTGACCAAAGAATTTTCGTAACTAGAGTTACAAAGTTCACCATATGTTAGGTTTGGATGCCATCGGCTGGAACCAGAGACTGTGTTCAGACATACGTTGAAATTCTAGTTTTTATTTCAAAAAAATAGAGAATTTATCTTTAAGAGAGTATGAGTATAAATTTTTATCTTTTATTTTGGATAAATATTCTTTTATTAGTGTAATTATTTGAGTAAAAATATTATGAATCAAACGTAAAAGGTAAAAATCCTGATTCATACACTTTTAAAAAGTATTTATTAAAATTACTCTTTTATTTTTCTTTCGGCTCAAAAAATTCTAGTTATACTTAGAGCCAAGCGTTCTTGTTAGGGGAATAGTGAAACCACATGTTGGGTATGTGGTGTCGGCAGATATTTTTTTTTGTTTTGTTTTGAGAATATCTCTTTTTACCACATTAGGTCTCCGACCTCTTTTAGAAGTATTCATATATATGCTTTGTATATATGCTTATGACGTAAGAGTGGTAGCAGCCGCATGTTTGTTTCCCATTGTTACACAATTTTCTCTTATTTTGGTGCAGAAATATTTAGTTATAGAATTATTCTTTGACAGTTAGAATTTTTATTTTTAGGTGTATTTAGAATTTGAACAGTGAGAGATATTTGACAGATTTTTATAACCTTTTTTTGATTTATAGTGAAATTTTTTCACCATTTTCGTTCTTAAATATAGACTAAAAGTCGAATCACGTTAAATCTTTTTGTATCTTGATTTTTTTTGTTATTTATATTTTACCCTGCGTCTATTTAATTTGACGTTTAGACGTTATAGCAAATAGCCCGTACAGTTTCTCTCTACTTTTCTATTTTATTTCATTTTTAAACATTCTTTCTTTGTATTTCTCGTAAAGTTCTTTTGCAGTCCTTGTTTGTCATTGCAGTGAAGTTTCTTTGCAAATGAGACAGAAACTAGTGATCATTGAAATTGGAAGGAAACGTGTTATTATACCTACCTAACTTGTGATATTTGCCAATTAGTAG